CCATGTTGATTTTGTTTAAAAATGTAAAATTTTGTTCCCCTTTTATGATTGTATCACCATTATGAAAATTTGTTTTCCCCCCTGTATATATGAACATTTAAATATGTATACCCGTAGATTTTTGATCACCCTGTAGATTAGAAACACCATGTAGATTTTGTATCCCATGTATTTAGTATCCCATGTATGATTATGAATTTATTAGATATTTACAATGTATGATTATGTATCCCCGTAGATTTGTTTACCAGATGTTATGTATCAATGTTTGATTATTTCACCCTGTAAATTTTGTATCACAAAGTTGATTATGATTAAGTAAAGATTATTATCACCCTGATATTAGACAAAAGTAATTTGTTCTCAGTATATTATGTAACACAGTAGATTTTTGTATTCCTGTATGTTATGTATACCAGTAGATTAGTAACAAAGTTGATTTTGTATCACATGTTGGGTTAATTTTCACCTTTTATGATTTGTATCCATGATGATTTGTTCAAATGTTGATTTTTATATCGTATGTTTGTATCACCCTGAAAATTATGTATCCCTGTATGTTATGTATCATGTAGAAATTTTTTCACCCTGTATGATTATGTTCACATGATATTATGTATCACATTTTTTTTGTATACCATGTATGATTATGTAAAATGTTGAATTTCCAGAGGACAATGATATTATTTCAATGTATATTTGTACACCAATTTATTATTTTTTATGTATCAATGTATTATTATGTATCAATGTATGATTATGTTCACCATGTTGATTATGTACAATGTTGATTATTTTCACAGTATGATTTTGTATCACCCTGTATGATTATTATCAAAAAAATTTGTATGGTTAAGTATCACCTTTTTTTTAAAAGATAATGTACACCAAAAATTTAAATTTTATTATGTATCATATGTATGATTAGTATCACCTGATATTAACACCATGTATATTATTATCATAAAGTATGATTATGTATACCCTGTAGATTAAGATACCATGTATGATTGATATGTATGATTTTTTATACCATGTTGATTATGATCCCCATTATTAATGTTAAAACTGATGATATTTTAAGTAAGATTACAAGTATATTATGTAATTTTAATTTGTACACCAGTATGATTTGTATCACCCGTTTATTTGTATCATGTATATTATTTTACCCGTAGTTATGTATAACTGTTATATATATTATGTATATAAAGTATACCCCGTATGATAATTATCATGTTGATAATTATCATCATGTATGATTATGTAACCATGATGATTACGTATCATGTAGATTAGTACATTGTATTTTGTATCATATGTATGATTAGTTACCCCCCGTATGATTTTTAAATCTGATGATTTTGTATAGTTGATTATATACACATGTAGATTAGTATTGTATGATTTAAATCATGTATTAGTACATCAGTAGATTTTTTATATGTTGATTATGTTACCATGTATATTAGTTCACCCCGTAGATTTTGATCGTATGATTTTTTTACATGTTTTTATGTTCTCAGTATGATTAGAAGTATATTATGTTTTTAAAATTTTGATTATGACATCATGTATGATTATATCATCATGTAGATTTTGTTCACCAGTAGATTATTCATCATGTATGATTGTATCTCATGATGATTATGTTACATGTATGATTAATCACCAGTAGTTTTGTTTCCAAAATTTTGATTTGAACACCATGTATGTTTGTATCACATTATGTTATTATCACCTGTATGATTATTCACCAGTTGATTTGTTCATTAGTTATGTTCTCAGTATGATTTCATCCCATGTATGATTGTTCCCCTTTGTTTTGATAAATTTTTTTATTTTATCTTTTTGATTATTTTTACCTGTATGATTACGTAAAACAGTATGATTATGTTCACCCTTATGATTCGTTCACCATTATGATTATATCTCATGTATGATTTTTGTATCACCCTGTATATTATGATCACCCCTGTATGTTTTATCCATGTTTTTTACGTTCATCCTGATGATTTTGTATCACCCTGTAGATTATGTTCACCCCTGTATGATTACGTATCACCCTGTATGATTACGTATCATATGTAGATTTTAAACATGAAAATTTTGTTCACCAGTGTTAGTTCACCCTGTAAAATTTAAAACCATTCAGTAATTAATCACCCCGTAATTAAAAGAAACCCATGTATGAAAACGTTATTATGAATTTATTACTTTAAACACATGTAAAAAAAACTTCGTAAAACACCCTGTATGTAAAGGATCACCATTGAATGAAAAACCTGAAATAAATAAAAACCTGACAGTAAAAATCCCATTTTCAGTAAGAACACAATGTACGGAGAACCCTGTAAGTAAGAATCCCCCTCCCTTTTCAATTTTATGGGGAACCCAGACAGAAGAATCGTACATGATGAATACCCCTGTAATAATGAAACACCCCTGTCAATGAAAACCCAGTAAAGAAAAAATTAATAAACCCGACAGAATGAATCCCTTAATGTGAAACACCATGTAAATGATTAATCCCATTACATGTAACCCCAAAAGTTGGGAAACACCCATGACATGAGAATCACCATGATAAATGATTTATTTTTACAGTGATGAATCAATGTACAGTATGAAAAACAATTTTACTATGAAATCACCCCGCTTAACCACCATGAATCACCCATGTACAATGATGAATCACCATTTATAATGAATCACCTATATATACTGATGAACAACCCATGTACAGTGATTAATCAGCATGAACAAGAATGAATCACCATGTACAGTGATGAATCACCATGTACAGTAATGAATCACCATGAATCACCCATGTACAATGATGAATCACCATTTATAATGAATCACCTATATATACTGATGAACAACCCATGTACAGTGATTAATCAGCATGAACAAGAATGAATCACCATGTACAGTGATGAATCACCATGTATTGATAAATTACCATATACAGTGATGAATCACCATGTACTGATAAATTACCATGTACAGTGATGAATCACCATGTACTGATAAATTACCATGTACAGTGATGAATCACCATGTATTGATAAATTACCATGCACAATGATAAATTACCATGCACAGTGATGAATTACAATGTACAATGATAAATTACCATGTGCAATGATGAATCACCATGTATTGATAAATTACCATGCACAATGATAAATTACCATGCACAGTGATGAATTACAATGTACAATGATAAATTACCATGTGCAATGATGAATCACCATGTCTTGATGAATTACCATGTACAGTGATTAATTACCATATATAGTGATGAATCACCATGCCCAGTGATGAATCACCATGTACAGTGATGAATCACTATGTACAGTGATAAATCACCATGTGCAATGATGAATCACTATGTACAGTAATAAATCACAATGTACAGTGATGAATCATCATGTACAGTGATGAATCACTTAACAGGAATATGCACAGTAACACAAGCAAATTAACTGCCTGTACAATATTCACTTGACAGCAACGTGATTTTATCGCTGTATAACCCAAACGGGCTTAGCGCTTGCTGTGAAATACAGTAAACTCTCACAATTGAAAGAGTGCCTCCCAAGCTGGACAGCACGTAAAACTGACTTCAGAGAACGTGCTATTCAATATTGGAAATGTATTTGAAAAAAAAGCGCAATATATAAAATCGACTCACGAAATCGTAATAACATGTTTGCTAGGATATCACAGGAGGTGGGACTCGAACCAATGGCATACGAGTCTTTAAGTTTTACTGGCGGACCAGTGTGTATCACTGGGCCACACCGGCCTGGACCAGTGGTTAATTAAGCCGGCATTCATCACTGGTAAAGTCTTGCGAATCTTAGGACTTCCCTGCCAGGAGTTGCAGCCCCACCCCTTCTGTGATTTATATTGAATAGTTTTGTACGAGTGCTTATTGTATTTTGTAATGACAATAATGTGAATTTTTTCGTGAATACTATTTAGTATAATGCATCCATCTGTGGCAAAAGTGAGTAATGAGGATGCACTTACTACAGACAAAATGGTAATATTTACACGAGAAAGCTTGGTCATGAGGGTACCAGTGGTGTAGGGTCAGAGATCAAGTGGGTGGTGTGAGCACCAGGGTGGCTCTAGCATCTCCGGTGGTGTGAGCACCAGGGTGGTTCTAGCATCTCCGGTGGTGTGAGCACCAGGGTGGTTCTAGCATCTCCGCATCATGCACAGAGGCGTGTGCGCTCACAGGGGTGTGGCGGCCAGCACAGGGGGAGGGGGAAGGGTGGAGGGGGCAGGCCAATTGTATTTGGGACTATTAGGGTGGGTGAAGGAAGCTAACGTGAGGTGGTCTAAAGAAACTACTAACAGAGATCAGCTGTACAGTCACGTCTATGGGTGAGCACTCTAATGTACAAATTATTAAGCCTTTACTCTATCACCACTCCTTATATAATGAGATAGTTTTAACTGAGTTTTTAGTTTGTGTTTATAAGCAAAAAACATAACCTAAAAAATTTTATCTACTTGAAAATCTACACTATGTTCAATTTAGTTTTATATAAAATAAAAAATAACCATACTGGGTAACAATCTACTGTATATAAAATAATAGTGTGCATGTGTTATGCATAATAACTTAATGAAATAATGATCTAAGAGGCCTGGTAGAGTTCGGTTAGAGTTTGTCCTTAAGACCGGCTTTGTTTTATCTCTCAAAGCTTGTTATTATGTTAATAACCAATACAAGACAAGTTTACATTTAAGATTAATTGTTAAGTGGACTAGAGACATAAGACAAACAAGAAGCCAACACATGTTATTTTGTCATTAGAAACAAAACAAGCAATAAGTCTGGCTGATAATTACATAAAAGCGGTAACTTTAATTGTATTAGCCTAAGCTGTACTCAGATTCTAACTGACCCCCTGCTCTGGCCACCAACTTAATATTAGGGTGCCTAAGACTAAGAAAACAAAAGACAAAACACCACAAACTTTTGTACAAATCCTTAGTATCGTTCTTACAGTCGCTGCGCATGCCCATCGCCAGACATTTTTGCAGCCGGCAGTACTGGCACCTATTGCGATGGTGTTTAGTGACCTCGCACGTCTTGTTTCCTCGACATGTGTAACCAAGCTGTTTACGAATTGACCTTTTGAAGAAACCTTTACAACCCTCACAACTGATAGCTCCATAATGACGCCCTGCAAAATTAATGAAAGGAAAAATATTGGTAATTAATTAAATTTTTCAACAAATTATCACATGCTTCAATAATAAAAAATACAAATCATTAAATTCAACCATACATGTACAACATTACAAAACAGTGTACATGACTCACGAAATCGTAATGACACGATTGGAAACAAACCATACCACGTGTGGAAAATTACATTTATCTGAATGTATCATTATATACATAACAGTAATGAACATAGATAATTATTATTTATTAGTTAGACAAGTAGGAATTTGGGACACCTAGGTCGCAAAAAATGTCCCCCTTCGATACCTATCACTGTCATATCCACAAGTTGCTCTGGACCTATTAATTAAATGAAATATACATCACCAGGAATGCTGGTAAATATATAAATTTGTGGACTGTATATTAAAATTAAAAAAGGATTATAGTATATACACACATTTATATAACAGAAGGAGAATATATCTTAATCATAACACTCACCAATTTGACTGGAGATTAAGTTGTATCATACTCAGAAAACCTCACTGTCTATACATGAAAATAACAACTGGCCAGAGCTATAACATAACAGACTTATCTAAGGTTCCTGGAGCTGTCTTGTCCAGTCGCCTGATATCTCAAGTTATGCAGGACTGCACATCCAACAATTTCGCCTCCTATTTGAGAGGTGTCAGCCCAATTTTAACCTCTAGAGCACGAAAAATTCTTCCCATTACACTAACGTTTACTTGGCTCATACAAAACCAAAATGGCGACTGTCCTTTTTTTAAAAAATACACTTTTATTAAATACAATATAGTGCATCTATTTACCTATAAATTACCGGATTTCCGGAAAATATACAGTATTTTCCACACCACGGGTGGGGATAGAACCCGCGATCACAGAGTCTCAAAACTCCAGACCGTCGCGTTAGCCACTGGACCAGCTAGCCACAATAAGATTCGTCCAACTAGGTATATTTCTACATCAGAGGAAGGTTAGTATAGGCACCACTGTGACCACAAATGCAAGTTTTTAGACGAATCTCCAGCTAGCGTGGCCGTGACGAACTCTAGCTCAAGTCCCCTCAAAGCCGTTAACATGACCTTCCTATGGTGTAGAAATATATCTAGTTGGACGAATCTTATTGTGGCTAGCTGGTCCAGTGGCTAACGCGACGGTCTGGAATTTTGAGACTCTCTGATCGCGGGTTCTATCCCCACCCGTGATATGGTTTGCTTTTAAAACATAGTGTACAGGATTTCATTTCTTTTTCACTTTCCATTACATGTACCACTGAAAATTCCTCACACTGTATGATGTCCTAAAGCACAGGCAAGAAAGATGTCCACTCTGTATTAACTGGCACTGAAAATATAGAAGGAACTCATTCCAAGGCTTTTACACTGATGTAAATTTTTACAATATGGCTTGGTAGAATGTAAATAATGACGTCAGGGTGCAATAGCCCTACAATCTATACTGGATGGAAACCTTCGAAGCTACAGTAGCTGATGAACGCTTATTGGGATTGCCTTACATGTCTCCCAGGAATATGCCGGGGAACGGAGGAAACTATAGGCAGAGAAGACCTAAAGGTTTCAGCATTGTTACATATTCATGAGACAAAAAAAAAAGGCAATCTTGCTAGGAGGCAAAACATTTAATAGGCTCCCATTTCATGCCTATATAAAGAACAGTTTAGTTCCCTGAATGTTTGCTGTCTACCACCTTACTGCCTAGAATGTAAACAGAAATTCTTGTAAATGCTATAACTCACTATTACTATGAGAGCTAATACAGTAGGTGCCCAGATCCTGGACTCATTAAGTATATACCTCAGTAATCTGTTGACTACCACCCACATGATAGGCACAGAATGCGAAATAAAATTAACTCCACTACATACATTCTCCCAAAAATGGTATATGTAGCACCTAATGAAATACGTAGACAAGCTACAAAACGTCTAAAGATGAGCTACACATTGACTCCCACAGCTAAAAAAAATGACTTAGGAAGATATGATAACCACACATAAAAAATAATGAATAAATAAGGAAGGTTTCTCATCGCCATTAGCAGAATGCGAGAAGTAGTTGTAAACTGATAAGAAGTGATGTCGAAGTGATCCCAAAAAGTTCCTCACAAGCTTTTTTTAAAACAGTGGCATGGGTTATAAGAGGAGGCAGTAGGCTCTTACAAACACTGGAAATTAAAACAAAAATATTGATTGATTAAATTATCAGTGTATAGTTACTAGAACAGAACCTACCTCTGTTCTTGTTACTACATACTGATAATTACTAATAAATAATTACCTGAAGCTCTGTCACCACAGACAACACACAGGTCCATAGCAACTGGTTGACCAGTGTTACGAGATGTGTACTGGTGAGAATTTTCTAAGTCTCGACTGTCAATGTCACTGCCTGAACTGGCTGCTGCTGCTGCCGCTGCCGCTGCTGCAGCCAGACCTCCTCGCTCCTGCAGTTCTTTTAGACGCCCCATCCAGTCACTCCTGTAATAATTACATAGCAGTAAGTGTATACACTTAACCTATACACAATGTAGAATGCATATATTATTACAATCTCTTGTTTTTTTTAGTTATTATTTAGTACATTACAAGAGAGTAGATTCACAATGTCAGGTGGTTTATGCAACTGGTGATGGTGAGGACCTGGATGGCTGGTCCTGGACCGAAGCTTGGTTTCATTTGGATGGCTACATTAATTCCCAGAATCCTCGAATATGGTCGACCAAAAATCTTTCTACGCTCCACGAGGCTCCTCTCCACTCATGGGAAAAGCCTAAATGACCAACACCAACAATTCTTGTAATTTACTATTAAACATGCATTCTCCATAGGTTACGTCTATTATTGAACTTGAATAGAATAAGAAAGTCTAATATTTTTTTCTGTATTTTACAAAAATATTGAAGATTGCATGTTTTATATATACCGGAGAATGGCGGTTCTCAGCACTAAGTTCGGGAGGGCGAGCAAATCTACCACCGGCCAATAATAATAATAATAATAATAATAATAATAATAATAATAATAATAATAATAATAATAATAATAATAATAATAAGGTAACAGGCAATATTTTATTCTGCTAAAAAATGAGTGACGGTGAATGTATTTTAATCTTCGGTAGGCTTGCCTTGGTAAGTAAAAGTACGGTACTTATATACACGGTGAAGCACACAACTCTCCTGGGTACGGTACTTATATACACGGTGAAGCACACAACTCTCCTAGGTACGGTACTTATATACACAGCTGAAGCACACAACTCTCCTAGGTACGGTACTTATATACACAGCTGAAGCACACAACTCTCCTAGGTACAGTACTTATATACACGGTGAAGCACACAACTCTCCTAGGTACGGTACTTATATACACAGCTGAAGCACACAACTCTCCTGGGTACAGTACTTATATACACAGCTGAAGCACACAACTCTCCTAGGTACGGTACTTATATACACAGCTGAAGCACACAACTCTCCTAGGTACAGTACTTATATACACGGTGAAGCACACAACTCTCCTAGGTACGGTACTTATATACACAGCTGAAGCACACAACTCTCCTGGGTACGGTACTTATATACACAGCTGAAGCACACAACTCTCCTGGGTACAGTACTTATATACACGGTGAAGCACACAACTCTCCTGGGTACGGTACTTATATACACAGCTGAAGCACACAACTCTCCTAGGTACGGTACTTATATACACAGCTGAAGCACACAACTCTCCTAGGTACAGTACTTATATACACGGTGAAGCACACAACTCTCCTAGGTACGGTACTTATATACACAGCTGAAGCACACAACTCTCCTAGGTACGGTACTTATATACACAGCTGAAGCACACAACTCTCCTAGGTACGGTACTTATATACACAGCTGAAGCACACAACTCTCCTGGGTACGGTACTTATATACACAGCTGAAGCACACAACTCTCCTAGGTACGGTACTTATATACACAGCTGAAGCACACAACTCTCCTAGGTACGGTACTTATATACACAGCTGAAGCACACAACCCCTCCTGGTAAAGTACTTATAACACAGCTGAAAACACACAACTCCCTAGGGACGGTACTTATATACACGCTGAAGACACAACTCTCCTAGGTACGGTACTTATATACACAGCTGAAGCACACAACTCTCCTAGGTACGGTACTTATATACACAGCTGAAGCACACAATTTTTCCTAGGTACGGTAAATTAAAATACACAGCTGAAGCACACAACTCTCCTGGGTACGTACTTATATACACAGCTGAAGCACACAACTCGCCTAGGTACGGTACTTATTATACACAGCGAAGCACACAACTCTCCTGGGTACGGTACTTATATACACAGCTGAAGCACACAACTCTCCGGGGACGGTAAATTAAAATACACAGCTGAAGTACACACAACTCTCCTGGGTACACAGTACTTATATACACGGTGAAGCACACAACTCTCCTGGTACGGTACTTATTATACACAGCTGAAGCCCCACAACTCTCCTAGGTACGGTACTTATATACACAGCCCGAAGCACACAACTCTCCTGGGTACAGTACTTATATACACAGCTGAAGCACACAACTCTCCTGGTACGTACTTAATACACACTGATACACACAACTCTCCTGGGGACGGTACTTATATACACAGCCGAAGCAACACAACTCTCCTAGGTACGGACTTATATACAACAGCTGAAGACACACAACTCTCCTAGGTACGGTACTTAATACACACTGAACAACAACAACTCTACGGGACGTACTTATATACACAGCTGAAGCAACACAACTCTCTGGGTACGGTACTTATATACACAGCTGAAGCACACCAAATCTCCTGGGAAGACTTAATACACGTAAGCACACAACTCTCCGGGTACGGTACTTAAAAACACACTAAACACACAACTCCCCCGGGGGGTACGGTATTTAAATAAAAACCAGCTGAAGCACCCAACCTCCGGTTTTTTCCCGGTCCCGGTAAGTCCAAGGTGATTGGAACACTGGATTTCGGACTGAAAATTAAAATTTCCTTATTCCATATTATCTTTTTTGTATAGTTTTTTTTTAATTTTATAATTGAAACAAAAAAAATATATATACAAAAAAACCCTTTTTTTTTTTTGTCAATCTCTTTAAAAAGTTTATTTTAAAAAAAACCCCCCCCTTTAAAGACGGGATATTTGAAATGAAATTTTTTTCTGTTACCCTAAAAAATTTTAGTGGTCTTTGTCCCAAAGCAAGAATTTAGGGGTCATGTCCCCCAAGCAAGAATTTAGGGGGCATGAAACCAACAAAAAATTTAGTGGCTTTGTCCCCAAGCAAGAATTTAGGTCAGGACCAAACAACAATTTAGTGGTCGTTTTCCCAAACAAAAATTTTAGGTCCCTTAAAACCAAGCAAAAATTTATTTGGCATGTCCCAAAACCAAGAATTTAGGGTTTCCATTTCCCCAAACAAAAAATTTAGTGGTCATGTACCAACAAGAATTTAGTGGTAAAGTCCCAAAACAAAAAAATTAGGGGTCATGAAACCAACCCAAAAATTTTAGTGGTATTTTACCAAGCAAAAAATTTATTTTCCATGTCCCAAGGGCAAAAATTTTAAGGGGTTCAGTCCCAAGCAAGAATTTGTGGTCAGTACCAACGGGAATTTTTGGGGGCATGTCCCCAAGGGCAAGAATTTAGGGGTAAAGGTACCAAGCAAAAAATTTATTTGGTAAATTGTCCCAACAAGAATTTTAGGGGTCATGTACAAAAGGCAAGAATTTATGGTCAGTACCCCAAGCAAGAATTTAGGGCATGCCCAAGCAAAAATTTTAGTGGTCATTGTCCCAACAAAAATTTTTAGGGGGTTCGGTACCAACAAAAATTTTTATGGGGCAGGTACCAAGCAAAAAATTTTTAGGGTCATGTTTCAAGCAATTTTTAAATGGCATGTACCAAAAACAATTTAGTGGGTCTGTACCAAGCAAACAATTTAGGTCGTTTTACCAAGAAAAACAATTTAAGTGGTTTGTGTCCCAAGCAAACAATTTAGGGGGTTCGTTTTAACCAACAAAAATTTTTAGGGTCGTGTACCAAGCAACAATTTAGTGGTCGTGTACCAAGCAACAATTTAGTGGTCGTATGCCACGTAAAATTAAAAAAAAAAAAAGCATTATGAAAAAAAAAACGGGTAATAATATAAGCTGACCATAAAACGCGTTTGAGCAGAAGTGTTAAGTGAACCGCACACGCATTATGAACCGTGAGAATTCTGGGGCTCGACCGAGGGAGGAATTATAATTTTTGACTGACACTCTTGGTTCTTACCCAAGGACAGGAGAGTTTCCGAGCAGAAGGGTGGGTGCTGCACTAAGCATGGTGTGGGTAAAGAGGGCGGGGTTGGTCACCATCAAACCTCCGGCACTTGTTACTAACAGGGGGTTGGAGAGAGCACTTGTGCTATCCACTAGATCACCTGAAAACGAAACATTTGTCTTTATAGCCAAAAAATCAAAGAGTACCAACTCACAAACTAAATATTGATATTAATTAATATGACGTTTCGGTCCATCCTGGACCATCATCAAAGATGGTCCAGGCTGTACCAAAGATGGAAAAAAGGTACAGTATTTGGGTTAAGTATAATACAAAAATTATTCATTATTTTTTAATCCTCATGCTGGATCAAACTACAAATTATATAGAATCTGTAATACAGTAATATAATTAAAAGCAAACCACGAATACTCTAACATACAAGGCAGAATATTTTTCTCTTTACAAAACTGAATTTAATACAGAGGTAATTCATTTATATAAATCAATTACATCTTAAGGTTAAAATACTTTATTAGCAGAGTTTTGTGTTAATTGAGCACTCGACCCAGACAACAACAAACAAGGTACATGTTAGTACACACAAGGGTGTGACAAACACGAGGGGTGTGGCAAACACGAGGGGTGTGGCAAACACGAGGGGTGTGGCAAACACGAGGAGTGTGGCAAACACGAGGGGTGTGGCAAACACGAGGGGTGTGGCAAACACGAGGGGTGTGCTAAACACGAGGGGTGTGCTAAACATGAGGGGTGTGCTAAACACGAGGGGTGTGCTAAACATGAGGGGTGGCTAAACAGGAGGGGCGTACCAAACAGGAGGGATGTGCTAAACAGGAGGGGTGTGCCAAACAGGAGGGATGTGCTAAACAGGAGGGGTGTGCCAAACAGGAGGGGTGTGCTAAACAGGAGGGGTATGCCAAAAAGGCGGGGTGTGCTCAAACACGTGGGGAGTGCAAACAGGAGGGTGTGCTAAACAGGAGGGGTGTGCCAAACAGGAGGGGTGTGTCAAACAGGAGGGGTGTGTCAAACAGGAGGGGTGTGTCAAACAGGAGGGGTGTGCTAAACTATCGTTATCATTATCGGCTAATTTTGATGTGTATCAGTATAGACAAAGTTACAGCATCGTCACACACGCTAATATTTAAGCTATAATCTCATTCCTTGTGTGACCTGTGACCTGTTTCACACTCGTGAGGCCTGACCCTCAACCAGGCCCTGAGCCAGGCCCTGACCAGGCCTGGACCAGGCCCGGACCAGGCCTGGACCAGGCCTCCTGAATTTTGTTGGGAAATATCTGCTATTTTATCCCTTAAACGATTCACAATTAAATTTCCCTCAAGGAAATGTCTCAACGCTTAGAAATACTCTTGATCCGAGAAACTGGAGCATCCTTCCTATCATGGATAGACTCCTGTCTGCCAGTCCCCAGGTGCTTTACACCCCATGAAGGTAATACGATCAACTTTCTTATAAACCTTTTATATAAATATATATATAAAAATATATATATATATATATATATATATATATATATATATATAATATATATATATATATATATATATATTTAAGAAAACCTGCACTGTATATGAAGGACTTACAGAAGATCTGATGGTAATAATAACAATATTAAAATCAACCTAGTGTCTTTATTTCGTTATCTTTCATTGCATGTCAGTCATATATTCACGATCCATAATTCTTTGGCGCTCGATCTCACCACTCAGGAGCTTACTGCAGGCTCCTTCACAGGATCCCACCAATGAGGGATTCACCACAGGCTCCTCCATAGTGCCTAAAGTGTTCAATGCCACAAGGAAGTGATCAATGCCACAAGGAAGTGACAAGTGCCACAAAGGAAGTGATCAGTGCTACAAGTGGTCAGTGCCACAAGGAAGCAATCAATGCTACAAAAAAGTGGTCAGTACCACGAGGTAGCGATCCATGCCACAATGATGTGGTCAGTGCCACAACTCACTACAAAAACAATGATCAATCGCTCCTGCTGAGCGACTATAAAGGTCGTGATATTTACATTCGGGGACGACTAAGGTCAGTCAGGTAGCAGGGGGAGGGGCGGGTGTGTGTGTGTGTGTGTGTGTGTGTGTGTGTGTGTGTGTGTGTGTGTGTGTGTGTGTACTCACCTATTTGTACTCACCTATTTGTGGTTGCAGGGGTCGAGTCCTAGCTCCTGGCCCCGCCTCTTCACCGGTTGCTACTAGACCCTCTCTCTCCCCGCTCCATGAGCTTTATCAAACCTCGTCTTAAAACTGTGTATGGTTCCTGCCTCCCACTACGTCATTTTCTTAGCTAAATCCACTGCCTTACAACTCTATGACTGAGAAATACTTCCTACTATCTCTCTGACTCATTTGTGTCTCAACTTCCAAATTGTGGCCTCTTGTTTCTGTGTCCCCTCCCTGAACATCCTGTCCTTGTCCACCTGTCTATTCCACGCAGTATTTTATATGTCGTTATCATGTCTCCCCTGACCCTCCTGTCCTCCAGTGTCGTCAGGCCGATTTCCCTTAATCTTTCTTCATAGGACATTCCCCTTAGCTCTGGAACTAACCTTGTTGCAAACCTTTTTATTTCTCTAGTTTCTTGACGTGCTTTATCAAGTGCGGGTTCCAACAGGTGCTGCATACTCCAGTATGGGCCTGACATACACGGTGTAACAGTGTCTTGAATGATTCCTTACTAAGGTGTCGGAATGCTGTTCTCAGGTTTGCCAGGCGCCCATATGCTGCAGCAGTTATCTGATTGATGTGTGCTTCCGGAGACATGCTCGGTGTTATACTCACCCCAAGATCTTTCTCCTTGGGTGAGGTTTGCAGTCTTTGGCCACCTAGCCTATACTCTGTCTGTGGTCTTCTGTGCCCTTCCCCTATCTTCATGACTTTGCATTTGCAGGATTAAATTCGAGAAGCCATTTGCTGGACCAGGTGTCCAGTCTGTCCAGGTCTCTTTGAAGTCCTGCCTGGTCCTCATCAGATTTAATTTCTCCTCATTAACTTCACATCATCTGCAAACAGGGACACTTCTGAGTCTAACCCTTCCGTCATGTCGTTCACAATATACCAAAAATAGCACTGGTCCTAGGACCGACCCCTTGGGACCCCGCTCGTCACAGGTGCCCACTGTGATACATCATTACGTACCATGACTCGTTGTTGCCTCCCTGTCAGGTATTCTCTGATCCATTGCAGTGCCCTCCTGTTATATGCGCCTGATGCTCTAGCTTCTGCACTAATCTCTTGTGAGGAACTGTGTCAAAGGCCTTCTTGCAGTCCAAGAAGATGCAATCAACCCACCCCTCTCTCTCTTGTCTTACTTCTGTTATTTTATCATAAAACTCCAGAAGGTTTGTGACACAGGATTGCCTTCCGTGAATCCGTGCTGGTTGGCATTTATACTCCTGTTCCGTTCCAGGTGCTCCACCACTCTCCTCCTGATAATCTTCTCCATAATTTTGCATACTATACACGTCAATGACACAGGTCTATAGTTTAGTGCCTCTTTTCTGTCTCCTTTTTTGAAAATGGGAACTACATTTGCTGTCTTCCATACCTCAGGTAGTTGCCCAGTTTCCAGGGATGTGTTGAAGATTGTGGTAAGTGGTACGCACAACATATCTGCTCCCTCTCTAAGGACCCATGGAGAGATGTTGTCCGGTCCCATTGCCTTTGAGGTATCGATGTCCCTTAGCAGTTTCTTCACCTCCTCCTCATCTTTAGTATGTCGTCCAACACTTGTTGGTTTATTCCTTGTTGGTGTCCCATCTGTCTGTCCCCCAGAGTCCTTCCTGTCTCTACTGTAAATACTTCCTTAAATCTCGTGTTGAGCTCCTTGTGTGTGTGTGTGTGTGGTGTGTGTGTGTGTGTGTGTGTGTGTGTGTGTTTTTCGGGGGTTACAAAAGGGGAGTAGTGGTGGGGGGGGGGAAATCTTTGGGAAGGGTAGTAGGGGGGGAAAGGGCCCAGGGCGGCCCATTTTACGGGTTTCCTTTCCCATTCTGCGATATTTCTTCTCCTTACTAAACCCAAACTAGAAATTATTTTTAAATTCGCCCTAGGAATCCCAAAAAAATTTGGGCGTTTTGTCCCACGTAATATTGAGTCTTTTCCTATAATATTCTAGGGGGACCTGAGGTTTTTAATAAAAAGGTCTGGGGTTTGGGGGAAATTTCAAAACACAATCCTATTTTTTACCCGACTTCTTTGCAGCTAAACCCCAAATGCCCCAAAGATCAAAACCGGGTTACGGGAAAACTGTTGGGACCGGAAACCGGGGGGGCGTTAACCCCCAAAACACTCCCCAAAATGGGTAATTTGGCTTGGTTCATCATTTGTTGATCCCGGGAAAAACCCCGGGTCGAGACCGGGCCCCGGGGGGTGTTGCCCCCCTTTTAAACCCTTCTTTTCGGTGTCCGAACTCCCCTACTTCAATAATACAAAAGAAAAAGTACAAAAGGGTTGCTTTAAGTTTTAAATGAAGGGTAGATGTGAAGGCAGTCAGAAAAAAGGCTTTTAAAAAGTTTATCTTTTTAACCCAGTTACGGCCATTACAAACACAACCCAAAAACTTTTTTTAAAATGTTTGAAAGTAAAACCCTACCCGAACGCTTCTAAAACTATTCCAAAGGGAAAACAAAATAAGAAAGGTCTATAAAAATTTGACTGGGGGGACACTTGCACATTTTAAAAAATTAAGGGAAACTTTTCCCCCAACTTGCTTTTAAATTTAGTGCTGACAAAATAAAACTTTTAAAATCATGGAAGCCTCAAGACCCTAAAAAAGTACTCGCTAGAGCGAAGGAGAGAGAGATACTTATAATATATACATAGAAGGTACTTGAGGGCCGGGCCTAAATCTGTACACTGCCGAAACAACATATGGGTGGAGATATAGGAGGAAATATACAAAAAACCCCAGAGAAAAGCGGGGAATCGTGAGTACAAAAAGGGAAACGGAAATCAAACCCCTTTGGCCCCAAACTTTTTAAAATTTTACCAGAAGAAATCAGAAAAAACCTGGGGGGAAAAGGGTAGAATCTTTCAGAGTAAATTTGGGACAATTCCTCAAACAAGTGCCAAATGTAATATTTTGGTAAGGGGATTGTGGGCAAAAAGGGGCCCACCA